GCACTGGTGCTGCCACTAGTGGTACTGGTGCTGTCCCTGCTGTGTCTGGAGTCGCCGCGCGGCCTCGGCCGTACTTCGTTCCGCTCCTTCAGCAGGTTCTTGGTCTTCCGCCTTCTACTGGTCCTCCTCCTCCCTTAGAGTGTCCACAGCCTGTTCCGTCACAGTTACAGTTACAGCCGGCCTCCCCACTGCCTGCTCCTTCTCCTTACACTAGTCCTACTGGAGGTCTTGCTGAGCGTCGTGAGCCTGCGTCTCGCCCAACGTCGCTTGTCCGTGCTGCTCGCACTAGTGGTCGCAGTTCGCGTCCGCGTCCTCCTCCTGTCCCTGGCACGCACCGGAAGTCTCTGTGTCCGTCCACTGCTCCTCTGTGTGCCCCTTTGCCTTCTCCTCCTAAGTCTTCTCTTCCTGCTCTTGCCGACCCGGAGTCGGACTCTCTTCGTGCTTCCACTCCTACTGTCACGCGTCTCCTTGCTACTGTCGTCACTGACCCTTCTTTTGAGTCCACTGCTGCGTCTGCCCTAGTTGCTGAGCTCCTAGACTTTGCTGCTCGCTGTCGTCTAGACTACGCTGCAAGTCTTGTCGCTGAGCCTGAGTCTGTCTGTCCTCCGTGCGTCGGGGGTGAGTGTGCCCTTGGCACGGACGTCCTTGAGGACACGCAGGAGGAGTTCCAGTGTCTGGCTACTGCTTCACCTCATCTCGTGTCCGTACTCCTTACCCCTGAGGGAGACCCGGATGCACTTGACATCCCGACTCCGCGCTCTTACGCGGAGGCGATAGAGGGTCCCTACTCCTCTCGGTGGCAGGCAGCTATGGACACAGAGATGGCTTCCTGGAAGTCCACAGGCACCTACGTTGACGAGGTTCCCCCGCCTGGGGCGAACATCGTCAGTGGCATGCGGATTTTCAGGGTGAAGCGGCCGCCGGGTTCTCCGCCTGTCTTCAAGGCGCGTTACGTGGCTCGTGGCTTCAGACAGCGGCAGGGAGTTGACTACTTTCAGACCTTCTCTCCCACCCCGAAGATGACCACTCTTCGGGTACTGCTGCACATAGCTGCTCACCGTGACTACGAGCTGCACTCTCTTGATTTCAGCACTGCTTTCTTGCAGGGCAGCCTGCACGAGGAGATCTGGCTGCGTCGCCCACCTGGCTTCACTGGGTCTTTCCCTCCTGGCACCCAGTGGAGCCTCCGGCGGCCAGTCTACGGTCTCCGCCAGGCACCGCGTGAGTGGCACGACACACTGAGGACTACACTTGCGGCTCTTGGGTTTGCTCCCTCTACTGCCGACCCGTCGCTGTTTCTGCGCACCGACACTTCTTTGCCGCCGTTCTACATCCTCGTGTACGTCGACGACTTGGTCTTTGCCATAGCTGACATTGCTGGACTCGCCCACGTGAAGTCCGAGCTGCAGAAGAGATACACGTGCTCAGACCTGGGTGAACTGCGCGGCTACCTTGGCCTGCAAATCACGCGGGACAGAGCACGCCGCACCATTGCCCTGACTCAGTCACACATGGTGCAGTAGGTCTTTCAGCGCTTCGGCTTCACGTACTCCTCGCCTCAGGCCACTCCTCTGCCTACTCGCCACTCGCTCTCAACTCTGCCTTCGGATGAGTCCGTAGAGTCGAGTGGCCCGTACCCAGAGCTTGTTGGCTGCCTCATGTACCTGATGACCTGCACACGACCTAACCTTGCATACCCTCTTAGCATTCTTGCACGCTATGTTGCTCCTGGGAGACACAGACCGGAGCACATGGCTGCAGCGAAGAGGGTGTTGCGCTACTTGTGCAGTACGTCGGGCATGGGGCTAGTGCTTGGAGGGCAGAGTCCAGTGGTCCTCACTAGGCACGCAGACGCTTCTTGGGCTGACGACCAGGCTACACAGCGGTTGTCACAGTGTTACACCTTCAGCCTTGGTTCCGGCTCTGTCTCGTGGCGGTCTACTCGCTCGTCTTCGGTTCTCGGCTCCAGTTGTGAGGCTGAGATCTACGCAGGAGCCATGGCTGCACAGGAGCTTCGCTGGCTCACCTACCTACTGACTAACCTCGGAGAGCCGCCTCGTTCTCCTCCAGTGCTGTACGTAGACAACAAGGCCATGCTGGCCTTGTGTCGGGAGCAGCGCTTGGAGCACAGAACGAAGCACATTGCTCTCCGCTACTTTCTTGCTCGTGAGCTGCAGCAGCGTGGTCAGTTGCGACTTGCGTACCTGGCCTCTGAGGCCAACACTGCTGATATCTTCACTAAGGCACTTGCGCCTTGTGATCATCAGCGCTTCTGTACTCAGCTTGGTCTTGTGCCTGCCTTGCCTCACTTGCTCACCTCTTGACCTTGCTTGTACTGTCACATATATATACTCCTGCTCTTGCTTGTTTAGCCTTTTATATATATATGTGCTCCTGCATGTGGACTGGCCTTGTGGCCTTGAACTTGTGCTCGGAATGTGTGGTGACTTTGTGATCCACCCTGGGCTTTGCTTTGTTCTGCTTGACTGGTCTTGTGACCCCTTGTTCTCCCCCACTTGGCCTACGGGGGTGTGTCAAATCATGATGTTCTGTAGGCTGTAGTGGGGTAGCCCATATGGGGTACACATTTCTAGGGTTGCATATTTGTACCACATTCCATTCCTTAGTGTTCCATTCTCGTTTCAATTTTCTCAGAATTACCTCGGGACATTTTGGGGTAGAAAAAACGCGACAGCAACTGCAGCCGTTGTTCGCCGAGGAGGCCGCTCGTCTGTTCATCGCAGCCATTATTCGCCTGCACGGGATACCAACAGCATTTATCAGCGACAGGGACACGAAGTTCACCAGCAACTTCAGGAAGAACCTCTGGGATCAGTTCGGGACCAGGCTACAGTTCAGTTCGTTGTACCTCCCTGAGACTGATGGTCAAACGGAGCGGACGAATCAGATGATGGAGCAGTTGATTCGTGCCACGTGCGACAACCCCACGACTTGGGAGCAGCAGCTGCCGCTGGGAGCAGCAGCTGCCGCTGATCGAGTTCGCGTACAATAATGCCACGTCAGCGACGACGCAGCAGTCCCCCTTCTACCTGAACTACAAGCAAAACCCTACAGTGCCCATGACGCCGAGTCCGGACAACCCAACACCACGCGCACAGCAATTCGCCGAAATTCTGCAAGCTGCCCGCACCAAAGCCGTAGAAGCAATTAAAAAAGCAAACGTCATCGCTAAGCGCAACACTAACCGCCACCGCCGCCCAGTCACATACTAGTCAGGGGATTACGTACTACTCGACACGCAAAATCTGCGACTGCCCGACGTACCAAAACTCCGACCGCGCTACTGTGGCCCATTCCAAATCAGCCACATGATCACGCGAGTAACCGCGCACCTACTGTTACTGACCGACTGGTACATCAGCCCTTCGTTCCACGTCAGCTTGCTTCGCCCCTACATCACAATCACAAGCCAACTGCCTCGCCACCGCCCGCCATCCATGAGTCGCCCTGCATTGGAGCCGATCATCGCGCCCGAAAAAATCCTGAGCCATCGGATTCGACACCCTACGGGAATCAAGAGGATTGAATTCCTCGTTCGCTGGAAGGATCGCACGCCAACTGAGGACAGCTGGGTGCCCCTGGCCAACATCGAAATCCACCCTGCTCTGCAAGCGTACTTGAGGAGCCGGGGCTTCCACGATATACACGTATTCGCGTAGCGGAGGGGGCTTTTTGAGGGGGGGGGGGGGTAGTGTAAGGAATTTTCTCGATATTCCTTAGCGCACCCTGCTACATCGCGTACAGCAGCAACCGTTGTTCGCCCGTTACTGCTAACGGGGCTTCACCGACTTCGCGCGCACTGTTTCACCAAGCCTCGCACTGCTGGCCTGGTCGTGTCGGCTTACGCTTCGGGACTAGCCCGAGCCTCGCTTCCAGCGTAGCACTAGCTAGCTCGCACGCACCGCGTTACCGTTTGCATGTTTCACGTATAAATGTTTGCTCATGCCTTCGCTCACATTTTGTACTCGTTTGACACCTTAGTGCAATTCTCGCTACTTCGATTCATTTCACCCGTAACAATTGTAATCCTATTGGTCAAACATTTCTGATTGCTTAGTTGTCTGATTTATCATTTAAGTGTTGATCACACCAAAGCTCACTGTATCGGTCCACATACTTTTTACAGGCGAAGCGAACGGTCCGCTACGTAGATTTCATTCAGTTTTCTAAAAAACGGTAGCTTCTCCCTCGCGTCGCGAATTGGGAACTGAAAGCGGTCCGGTCAAATTACCGGCCAGCCACGCCCACGCGCCCTGGTTCCATGTGTATCGTTGGGCTATGGCGATAAAACATGGGCCCAGAAAATCGTGTTCGTTTCTGTTACTCCACATCAGGCGTCGCATGACATGGCAGGGCGGTACTGAGCGACCCTTGAGGCACCGTGCGACAGCTACATCTGTGCGCGCTCAAAAGCACACAAATTCCCTTGTCATGAACTGAGAAGTAGTCGCCACATCTGCCCATTCCATTTCATTTCTCAGTAGCCATTTGAACCCAGAATTCAGCTTCACATCGTCGTTGCCCATACTTCGCATAAACTAGCCAGCAACCCTCCACCAGCATTGGCTCGCGAGCTGACAATGGCCGATACCGAGCAGGGATTTTCAGCTCCTCTCCACAAATATGTTCTAAGTCCAGTCGAGGAGGAAGATCGCGCGACTCTCCGCAGCCGCTGGCTATTATCTCTGTGTCTCTCAACTCCCGACCATCGCCTCGCCTCCTCGACACCTCCTCCTCCCAATCGCTTTTCCGCTGCGACGACCACCGAGTCGGGAAGCGATACCCCCCCCGCAGGTCGGAATCGCGCGGAGAACATCGGAGACCAGTCGCCCATCTGTCCGAAGCGACTGTCGTTCTCAATGCCGGGGGAGCCGCCTTCTCCTAGAGCCCTCGGCTGGGGCACCCGAATGTTCTCGTCAGCCTCGGTGGCAGACTTGTTGCCGAACCTCCTCCACCAGCGAATGCCGCAGGTTCGGTTCATGGTTGCGCTAATGGGCCTTGTCGTCACAGCGTCGTTCCTCTTCTCCGACGGAGTCGCCAGGGGAAATGCGACGCTGAGCGGATGGTGGCCGACTGATGCGACGTCGCCGGCCGTCGCACGTTTGCGAGGTGGTAACCCGGTGGACAGTCGTCGCAACGGTGGAGCTAACGGCAAGTGGGGATCAGTTGCGCAGCGGGAGCAGCAGAGACGGCGGCTGTGGTGGGCGGACCGGGAGGGCGAGGCAGCTGAATCGAACGCCATGGATCCAGCAGTAAGTTATCTTCAAAGCACCCGTGCATTGACTCCCGGCGATTGACCCCCCTGTCTCGTCCCTCG